AACCAGCCACTAGCAACCCTTTTGGTACTTTAGGTTACTTTATGTCGACGCTCAGTCTGATCTTTCAGATGCACGTCTCTTCTTTGACACTATGATCAGTCAATCAATCAAACTTTATTTATAGAGCCCTTTCTAGCAGCCAAAAGGTGCACAAAGTGCTGTACAGTACAGAAGTTAAAAACAAACAAGAATAAAAAAAATCAGCCATTTAAAAACAAAAACAATTAAAACACACTTGGTCAGATTTTCCTGACGCATGTCTCTTCTTTGATGCTCGGTCAGACTTTCCTGATGTGCATCTCTTTTTCTGAGGGTTTCCCTTTCAAAGAAAGCCCCACGTTGGATGCCATGTTTTATCTACCCAGTGGAGTTACCACCTGAGTTATGGCTAAACCCCACTGCAATGTATCCTCTAAGGGGTATAACGAACTAAGTCTAAACACTTGATTATTACCCAGAGTAACCTTAGGTTAATTCTATTTACGGCTGTGTTGAAGGTGACTCACCCAGATTTGTTAACGGCCCCCATCTGTGAGCCACCCTCTTATCTCACCCCGTGACTCACCCAACCTAGCAGCTGGAGTTGGATCGTAGTCCACAGGGAAACTCACATTAACGGTCACTCACTTTTGTTGTTTAATGGCAATTCTTACTGATCTGGTTTTGTTTAGAATCTAGGAATAGGATTTTAGGATGTTGTCTTAATACTCACAGCTGATTAACCATTAAAAACCTCCCTAAATTTGTTGAAATTGAACCAAGCTTCTTAAATCCATGAACACGAAGTGGTGAAATGATAGTCCAGATTTTTACGTTTTATGCTTTGCAAGGGAACAGCATTAATGCACAATCCAAAAATGATTGCATTTGGTTATATAGTAATCAGTAATAGAGAGTCCATACATTGCTTGAGGAAGGTTCTTGTTAATTGATTTTGATGTCCAAAGGATTGGAAGTCCAACTAATGAGGTAATTTCCTTGCTCCGACGAGCTGAGATCGGGAGTTAAGAATCCTTTGAGCTTCTATGAGCCGGTGTAAGAAAACCCTCCTATCATCTAGATGGGCCACGCCCAGAGTCCCAGCGTGGGATAGAATCCCAAAGAACTCTAAATCTCCCTGGTCAACTTACAAGAAATCCCTCCAAACTGTTATTTGTCTTTGTCAAACCTGTTCCACTGTTTGGCATTTCATGAACAGAGGACCCAAAATGTTGATGAAATTATTCTAATTCCTTTAATGGATTGGTCGAACGTCACTGTTATTTTGTATCAAATTTGTAAAAGAATGGTAAATCGGAGCTTCGCTTACCTTATTTCTCAGTCTCCTTTGTCTGAAGAAATCTTTGGTTAAAAGCAAGTGAAAACCTTTCCCAAAGCCTTGGAGAAGGTGCGCCCCTCGCTCAGAAAGCTTTCTCAATTTGAAGAAGATTTGTCTTGGTCTAAAATCTGGGCTGAAACTAAAAAGAAACTCCTTTCTTGACTAAATGAGTCTTATTCGGATTGTCCAAATCTTCTTCTGCAGCTAGAGCAGTTTAATTCCATTCTTGTTCCTCCATCTGCCAGAACTTATTCAGCCTAAAACAATGAGTGCGGGCTGTTTATAAATCTCAGCCCAGCCCAACAAGTCTAAACTGGTTCCAGTCTGATCTTGCGTCTTGGGGCGTAGCTCTCTGCTGTAAGCCTATGATTGATTACGGCTGTCACACTAACTTTCGGGGACATTTAGTCCCAACAGACATGTGCTAAGCGTCACCGCCCTGTTCTTACTCATGGCAGAGTCACTGCTGATCCTCTTAAGAATCACTCTGTTCATTTTAGCCAACACAGTTAATATTCAACTCAAACATAAATATTTTAATCACATACAATCACTTTTCTGTTAGTTATTCATCTGTTAATGGATCACCTCTGGTACATGTCATTAACAGATGTCCATCTGGACATGTTAATGATCACCTCAGATACAGGTGATTATCTCAGACACACAACACACAGTCTCTGCACAGAGCACACAAGCTGGCTGCCTAATTCTGGTCAATAACTGATTTCACAAAATTCAACATATCACTTATTCAACTTTACTTACAGTAGCTACTAAATTTTACTCACCAGCTCTACAGAACAGAGCAACAACAATCGGTTCCTGTCCAACTCTGTTTCGTTTCTGCAGATGTAACCTGCAGTGATTACGCCCACAATCAGTGTTCTAAACTCTTAAACCTACTAATTTTAACAAATGAATTGTACTTGGTAAATTAGCTGTACTTATATAGCGCCTTTTTATCTTATTGAGATACTCAAAGCACTTTACATTACAATCTGTTTACCCTGTTTATCTGTTACCCATTCATATAGCACTCTACAAGATTTCTACAAAGGTCATTGAACAAATCATTCTAAAGAGACTAATCAGTGCTTTATCACATTCATACACCGATGGGACACACATCGGAGGCAACGAGGGGTTCATTGTCTTGCCCAGGGACACTTTGGCATGTGACTGCTAGTGGATTCAAACCCCCATGTGACTGCTAGTGGATTCAAACCCCTAACTCTTGCATTGCTGCTGCTCTAACCATTCAGCCACAGCCGCTCTTCTTGGTAGACAGTCCTTTAGATTTACATGATTAAAGTCTCCAGCCACCACGTAAAGAGCCTCAGGGTGTTTGCTTTGCAGCGAGCAGAAATGGTCTTGAAACTCCCGCAGAGCGTCGGTAGCATTAGCATCCGGGGCTGTTATGAACACCACTGTCAACTCGCGGGATATATAATGTGGTCGACATTTCACTTTTAGCTGCTCCAAAGCCTTGGAGCAATGACGGTTTATCAACGTACAGTTTGTGCACCAACTTTTACTCATATTTTGCCCTCCCCTCAATTTCCCTGTTACCTCACTGCAGCAGTCCTTTAAAAAAAAAAAAAAGAGTCTGTCATACAGCTAGAAGGCTGAGTCCAGCATGTCGCTGTTAAGCCATGATTTTGTGAGACAAAGCACCGCACATTTCTTCATCTTCTCTGAGGCACACACTCTCGGCCGAAGCAAATCCATCTTGTTGTCCAATGAGCAGACGCTCGACAGAAAGAGAGAGGGTATCAGGAGTCTGCCAGTTTTAGCGTTAGCTCTTAGCCTCACTAGAACCCCAGCCTGGCAACCTCGCTTCTTAAGCTGGGAGCAGCGCTTCCTCCTCTGCCCGTTGGAGCACCTCTGCTGCAGCTTCCAGGTAGATGACTTTAATAGCTGCATTCTACCAAGCGTAGATTTGAGTTCGTTGCTGATCTCTGCAATATTTTGTGGTAAATCCACTCTTATTCTCATCAGTTTGGTTTGGCTATAATTCACAAGCATAAATCGTGCAGTCAGACTCGGAGTCAATTTCAAAACTCTTAAAAACTGGGATTACACCGGGAGCCCGTGAAGCTGTGGCTACCGAGAGCACGTCCATCTTATCTTAAAACACATTTAAAAGGTAACAGATCATTGTACAACTTGGTTTATTTACATAATGACTTTAATCGCTGGATGTCCAGCCCTTGAGCTGTTAGCTTTCAGAAACTGTGGCCCCCTGTTGAATAGCCCTGAACTAGACAGTCTCGGAGAAATTTGGTGGTGACTGCGACGTGGTGACCATTTTAAAATTTTGATGGCAAAATGCCTATGTTTTGCTGTATAATATGTATTGCGCCTAAATTGCGCCGCTCAAGGTGGCTACATGTTCGAGTAGCTCTATTAATTTCATTTTGAGATTTTACTTTTGGAAACTTTAATTCCTCTTTTTCTGGATGTAAATAACATTTTTTTTGGATGATTGTTTCTTCTGGTATCGGTTGCTGTGTAGCTGGAAGGATTTTTACTGAAACTTTTTTTAGTTTTGGACATTTGTTATGATGCATAACCATGGCAACAAGGCAGTTTTCTACAACCTACAGCAGCTGATTAACATCTCAAAAGCTCAAATATTATCTCGACTACAGCCCCAAATCTCAATTGAGTTGAAAGGATGTTCTGTGGACACATTCTCATCTACCTGCCAGCTGTGCTCGAGTGCCTGACCACTGAGATCCTTGAACTAGAAGGAAACATGGCTCATGACAGCGGAAGGACAGGATCGTTCCTCGGCATCTACAGTTGTCTGTCCGCAGCGACGAGGAGCTCGGCAGACTGCTGGGAGGAGTGGCCATCGCTCTGGGAGGAGTTCTGCCCAGCATTCAGGTGGTCCTACAGCCCGGGGGAACCGAGAGGCCAGCCAAGTCTGGGTGGATGGATCGGACGGCATTTGCAGCCAGTTTCTTAGGATCCACTGTGGGATGGACCTTTAAAAGAGATCTTTCCTGCCTACAGCCATCAGTATCTATAATATCTCTTAATGAAATGAGGATAACGAGTTACAACAACAACAAATAATTTCCCTTTTGGATTAATAAAGTATTTTTGAATTGTTTAATTGAATTGAATTTTTTAAGTGCATCTTAAAATATGTGGTGGCAGGAAGAATTTGTTTGATGACTTTGAGTTTTGTTCAGGGACCTTTCCACTCAGGTCATGTGACCTCACTTTGGCAGTTAGAGGCTGTAAAGAGTTCTGTCGGTGTTTTTCAATGGGAAAAATTGTGTCTTTGTTTGCAAATTATGTTGTCATGTTAATGTGAAATGACAATAAAAGTAATAACACACATCACGGTGCCGAGCCTTTCTTTTTCATCTAACATTTGAGGAGTACACGTTGTGGTTCAGGCCTCATTAAAGTTGATTGAAGAGCAAAAGTCTTCAGGTGAATATTGATAATAAGAGGTGCTGCTTTCAGGCAGTGCCCAACTAGAACCTTCACTCACAACCTTCACTCCAGGCAGAATATCTAAATGTGACACTGCTGCTCCTAATGTAATTAATTTTGTTCTATTTTGACTTGTTGAAAAAAAGGAGAAAAGAAGCGGACTTTTTGTAACTCGACCTGTTTCTTGATTTACTTTGTGCTTGTTATTATAATTTGTTTGATTCAGATGAAACTCTCTTTCACGCTGGACAAAGAAACAATGATGCCTCAAGGCTGCTATATTTACCAGTACAAAGACAGCAACAAGTGAGTCATTCATTTATTTCACCAGGCATAAACTGTAAGAACAAGTTCTAATTTACAGTGTTGGGTCATTTTCCCTCTTTGTGTTTCTAAGGAAAACTTCTTTGATTAAATGGGTTCAGTTTCACTGGCTGTCTTAAATCCAACTCCTCCTACGTTTGTGGATTCTCCTCTCAGGTTGGTGGAGGAGTTCATGCTGCTGGCGAACATTGCCACTGCGCACCACATTCACCGCCGATTCCCTGAGCTGGCTTTGCTGCGATGCCACCCTCCTCCCAAAGTCAAGATGCTGGATGAGCTGCAGGAGCTGTGCAGCCAGCTGGGAATCAACATTGACTTTTCCTCTGCTGGAGCGCTAAATGTCAGTATCTGTGATGGTTAAATTACTCACATGTAATTTAGTCTTAATTACAAACTCTGAGTTTGAGTTAGTGACAACACAGGACCTCTAGATTTTCTTTGATTCTCTCTGTTTGGCAGATACGGAGCTCCGTTATTAATGAACAAATTCTCATCTCCACTTTTTCCAAAATGCAGAAAAGTCTCAATGATGTTGTTGGTGATGATGAGTATTCCAGTGCCAGGAAAGAAGTCCTCACCCACATGTGCTCTAGACCCATGCAGGTCAGAAACACACAAGCCAGTCCTTTCAGTTTCATGTCTGTTTGAACTTTAGGGTGCATTCACACCTGATAGTCCGGTAGACTCGGTTCGGTTGGAGACCAATATTCATGACATTTTGTTTACATTTGAGCTGGTGCGTTTGCATTCACACTGCACTGTGCAGTCGAGCCAACCTGTTGAACCAATCTATTCCTCCGCTCGCCCGTGGGGGCGCTGCACCAAGAACTAGTGAAAGAAACATCACAAAAACCTCTGAAGACACTTCTTCTTCTTCTGGAAATAAAAACAAAAACTGAGTGGCATCAAGTTTTAGCAGTTTTAGGAGTTATATTTTGTCATTTTTCAAAAATGGACTCTGTATGAGCAGAAGATGAGGCAGAAGACCACGGAGAATATTGTTTTTCACACAAGGCAGCTGACAGCTCCATATAAGGTAAGAGAAATGTGTGTTTGTTTGCCCTGCGTTGTACTCCACCTCTTGCTTGTGGAGTGGGGCTCAGTCTGTTTACATTCACACTGTACTCAAACCGCGCTGGAGTTCTCTTCTACTGGACAGAGACCTAGGTTTTAGCCCGGGCCAGAGTTCGCCTTTTTGTTCCGTGACAGAGTTTGATGTCGCGTTCACACCTCCCCAAACGAACCTGACTTTCTAGGAAAACGAGCTAGAGTTCGATTAAAGCAGACTAAACAGAGCTGGTGTGAATGCATCCTAAGTTTCATTTTTTAAGTACATTTTTCACCGGGCTGTAATGAAGGAGAATTGTGGACTTAGTCTTGATTTAATTCATATTTTCAGGCAATATAAGTTTAAACTTCTGTTTCTTTGCTTTTTACTCGTTCTGGGAACCAACTGCACATTACAGATTGATCTTAGGCCAGTTTCACTCTTATTCCACCTGCTATTATCAGCTCTCACACTGATATTATCTCAAGTTTAGGTGGTTACAGGTGTTTAACACTATTAAGCCGACAAGCTCTGCAATTGTAGGAGAACATCCATCCGTCATTATCTTCTGCTTAATCTGAAGTCTAGTCTCGGGGCAGCATCTTGAGCAGGGAGCTCCAGACATCTCTTTCTACAGCTACCTCTTCCAGCTCTTCTGGAAGGATCCCAAGGCATTCTCAGGCCAAAAGAGAGACATAGTCTCTCCAGTGTGTCCTGGATCTTCCCTGGGATCTCCTCCCAGTCAGACATGCCCGAAGCACCTCCCTAGGGAGGCGCCCAGGGAGCATCCTTACCAGATGCCTGAACCACCTCAGCTGGTTCCTTTCAACATGAAGGAGCAGTGGTTCTACTTTTAGTCTCTACTGATAACTGAACTTCTCACCCTATCTCTAAGGGAGAGTCCAGCTACCCTGCAGGGGAAACTCATTTCAACCTCCTGTATCCGCAATCTCAATATTTTGGTCTTTACCAGAGCTCTAGAGGTCCAGTGTTGTCATTAACTCAAACTCAGAATTTTGTAATTAAGACTAAATTACATGTGAGTAATTTAACCATCATAGGTGAGGGTAGAAACGTAGACCGACCGGTAAACCGAGAGCTTTGCCTTACAGCTCAGCTCCCTCTTCACCACAATGGACCAGAACATAATCCACAATACTGCAGATGCTGCACCGATCCATCCATCTATCAATCATACACTCCATTCTTCCCTCACTCCAGAACAAAACCTCAAGATACTTGAACTCTCCACTTGAGGCAGAACTTCACCCTTGACCTAAAGAGAGCAATCCACCCTTTTTCGGTTGAGGACCATGACCTCAGATTTGGAGGTGCTGATTCTCATCCCAGCTGCTGCACACTCGGCTGTGAACCTCTCCAGTGAGAGCTGAATATCACGACATGATGACGCCAACAGGACCATGTCATTCAAGGATTCAAGAATTTTTATTTGTCATTCCACAATATGTGGTACGTGTGGTGGAACGAAATTGTGTAAACAGGGTCCCAGTAACATCTAACAAAATTATTAAAATATAAAAGAAAAACGGTAATAAGATCTAAGATATGAACTAAGAAAAACGTTAATAAAAATACATTAAGCACTAATAGCCTGCCTGCTCCACAGGCACCAGGTTTGTCACCATTTTCATCCCTTCTGAGTTTGCAGGTATGTTACTGTAGTGAACTTAATCTGGTGTCACGACTAAGCCTAAGGTCAAAACCCTTGACCTTAAGAACCTTGTGGGACAGAAACTGTCATTTCATTGATTTGAATCCAGAGATACAGGTTCACCCATCCTGAGACTCTCTTTCGTGATAATCAAGTGAAAGAACACTCTCTTTTTATCATCATTACTATTTTACAAATGTTGATAATCAAGTGTCTTAGTTCAAACCATTTTAGATGTTGCAGTGAACTAATCAATTTTATTAACTGTGTAATGATTTTTAATTCTCATGCAAAGTTAGAATTTATGTTGAGGTCTGTTACAGATTTTTATGCATTTTCTGACTTCTGCCTTTGAATGAGCAAGTGTACGTTTCCAGGGTCAGGAGTGAAGCAGACATGCGTTGGAACAACTGTCCTGTTTATATCCTCTCAGACGTCAACAGGGGGTTTTGGCACCTGTTTCTTAAACTCGCCAAAACAAAACTCTCTCTGTCTGTGAGAACATTTCTGATCTTTCCATAACAATTCTTGCTGCATTCTAACCTTTTACGTCACAAAACACACCCCGTCTGGTCGGTTCTGGCCAATGGGAATACTCCCAGATGAACCGGGAAAAAGAGCTCTTTAAAATGTCGGTACTTCCTGGTCTCATCAGTTCTGTGAGAGTTCTGTGAGGGTTCTGTGAGAGTTCTACTCGGTTCGGTGGAGTTCAGTTCTGCTCAGTTCTGTGCGGAGAAGCCAGTTCTGGGAGCCGGGAAGATCCTGACATGACAACAGAGCTCTTCCGAGTTCCATGGGATTATAACATTTTCCACTGAGGTGAGCTGTGAGGGACAAAAAGCTGCTACTCCGGACGAGTAACAGCATCCTGCGGAGACGCTGAAGGGTGCGTTAAACGGAATCTCGCCTGAGACATCTCCAGGTAAAAGAGTCGATTTCACCACCTAAGTGTACCGTAAGGAGAAGCTGAAGAAAGCCCAGAGAGTGCCGTTCTGTTCACACTCCCTCAAACCCCATCTTTTACTCTTCTTTAAACTTCTTTCCCATCTTTAAACTTTTCTCTCAAGTAGAAATTCTTCCAGATATTTAGAAATGTCTGTGTAAAGTGCTCATCCACCGCCGTGTGGGTAAAAGATCATAATTGTACAGTTTTCATAAATGTCTGTGGTGAAGCAACGGAAAAATCATGGCCGTATGATTTTTCCTGATTGATTGCTTATGTTGTTATTTTCATAATTTGCCAAATTAATGTAAATGTTTGATGTTAAACTTTGATTCTGTAAATAAATGACCGCATTCATTTTGATGGGTCAAATATAAATGACGTTTCACGTTTGCATTTCATTAAATTCAATGCACGTTTTATTCAGTTCAGAAAAATGAGGAATCCGCGTTAATTGATGAATATATCTGAGCATCTGTTCATCTACATTCTGGTGGCCCGTTACGTGCTCATAAATGACTGTATATTCGTGTGAAGATTGAATTTTACGTGTTGGCATGAAAAGTAACAGTTTTTCTGCTGTGCTGGAACGCAGCTCAAAAGCTTTGAAGTCAGAACATTGCATGTTTACGCAGCGTGCTGGAGCTGCGCGCTTGGTGCTTGGCTCTGCACGTTTACGCTGTATTACGCTGGCGATGTTATGAAAGCTGAAAAAGTGTCATATGTCTTGTGAAAGCTGAATTTGTACGCCTGTTATCGTAACTACGCTGATTTTGAGCTGGGTGAAAACGCTCTATTCTGTTTAAAGACGGTCCAGATGCGGTTCTGGACCGGCTCGGTTCTGAAGAAGGTTCGGACGAGGTTTTTTTTAAATAGCTAGAAAGACGTTTTTGAGACCGGAGTAGAAGACTCCGTACAGCTCAGAGTTGATTCGTTACATTTTTAACAGAAAAAGTGCATTTTGACAGTTTAAAAGACGATAAGTTGACGAAATGGTTTCAGGCTAATCTAACATGCTGGTGGCTGCTAACGCTTCGTGGTTGGTTGATTTGCTGCTGTGGAGCGCTCTGATTTGCTGAGAAATTGACTGACGTGGCTACGTCACTTCCTCTCACCCCTGCTGCTTTGTCATTGGTGATTTCAGTCACGTGACCCGGAAATGGAAACTCATTTTCATAGGGAATAAAATCTGCTTTTTAAAGCTGAAAAGCGCTTTAAAGCTGTGTTCTGAAACGCTGTTTAAGTTCTTCGAAGTCTAATTGCTAAAATTTTGCCACGTTTGTGTAAAAATCCGTTCAGAAATGTTGGTTTTATCCGAGTCTAGCCGATGCTAATTTTGAGCTAACAGCTAACGACCGGACGCCACAGGAAGTCATAGCGACCCCTACTGGACAACACTAACAGTGTCTGAGTTAAAATTAATAAGGTTGTACTGACACCTTCTGGATACACGTGAAGATCACAGGTTTTCACTTCGTTTTAGGTTTAAAGAGTGAAATTAAACGTTTTTATTTTTCTGTAAGGCATTTTTGAGTTAATAAACGCTCCTCAAAGTTGAATAATCACTGTTATCTTGCATTTTAAAAGTTATAAAGGTATTTATGCAAAGAGCATTTACCGAACACATTTTTATTCACTGATAATTCCTTAAGAAAAGGTACAAAATAAAAATTAAAGCAAACTTTTAAAAAAATAGAAACAGTTACAGATATTCACAAAAATGGAAAAAGTTTACTCACTTGCTAAAAAGATAACGCACGTTTAATTGTTAAACTCACAAAATAAGAGTAAATACATCAGTAGAGAGAAACTCTTCTGATTTTATTTTACCACCTAAACATTTACATCTCCTATTTAATTTCTAAATAGCAGATAATGGAAGACGAAGAGGTAAACACTGACCCCTTTCAATCCAGAGATGCCGTCCAGTCGGCTTTATA